ACCATGACGGTAAGAGGATGAACCAAAATGGAATTTTCAGCAGCCGTGTCCATCGAGTCATTCCAAAAAGCACCGTCAAGGAGAAACCAACGGTAACCACCACCTGCAGTGTGACAAGAAAAGGACGTAAGATGAGGCCAAACAAGTCTAAAGGAAGGATGCATGTACTAATACAGCCAAACAATCCCAAATCTCACCCATGTTCTTGTCAGCGGTTTGAGGACTTGAAGCGCCGACTTGCGTACGGCATAAATCTCCTCTGGAATCTCCAGCAAGGGAGGGTGAGTTTCACTGTTGCTCAAATCCTGCTCTGACTCTTCATAGTCTCCTCTCTGCAAGCCCTGTATGATCCCTCGTCTTTGGACAGGAAGACTGGACCTTGCCGAGATTGTCGATGTGCGAGAAATCAAGTGACTGTGTTGACTGGAATCATCTACTTCTGCATGAGGATTATTGTGTTGAGACCCCTGACTGTGAGCACTGGCACTAGCGTGGTAAGTGATTTCTGTGTAATCAGTGGCGCCCCCTCCTTCCAGAAGATGGTTGTTGTTGATGTTGCTGTTGTTCTATGCTATGAGCGTGGTGCGTCTCCGCGGCGGTGGCTTGGTACATGGGTTGATTTGAGCTGGTCAACGCCGTCGTTTCGCCTTGATGTTCCTGCTGGAAATGCTGATTAAACGATGACGGAGATTTGCTCGAAGACCGCCGCGCCCTAATATTCGAACTGCTGTGTGCGTCCGTCGTTGTGATGCCTTTGTCAGAAAAATTCACACGTGCCGACTCTTCTTCGCTGAATAGCAATGGGGTTGACTCGTCGGAAGCCCCTTTCGCTCTGGTGGACAATGGCTTGCCTCCTGTTGCTTTCCTTTGCACTCTGATCAGATGGACGATCTTGCTGTCTCATCTCATTCCCACCGCTACTGGTGGGCGGTCTACAAAATGGTCTTTCGCTTTTCGTCGGCCCTCTTCGATCCCTGGCGACTTCTACCGTACTACTTGTCACAGGAGCTTTGGCTGGATCCACCAATCTGTCGTCTGCTGTCACCGCTGCCACTGCTGCCGACTGGTGCTGTGTTGGCTGTTTTGGCCCTTGGGCTCTCGAAGTCGCGGGTGGGGCAACGCAAGCCAGTAACGAGCCAGCTTGGTACTATTGCTTCCACTCTCCTTTCGCTGAAGTCGCGGGGGCGGCTTTTGCGCGTGTCGAGCATGTATCTTAGGGTGAGAGTTGACATGCCATCATCTTTCAACCATCAAGTCGTTGGGTGTGACCGACAATGCATTCGATGTCATTCATCTTTGCTTCAATGTGGCTCTCTCAGGCCGAACCTAACCGTAGCGACATACGACAGGCGACACACATATATGTCGTATGTCGTGACCTTCCGGGCCTTATGGTTGACGACTCCGACAAGACACAAGTGCAACCAAGCGGCACCCAATAGCCAATCATATTATCCTGAAAAGATGACATGGACACTTGCCACGTCGCACATGTGACCAATAAAACTAACCTCATATTTTTCGCCACTTTCCTCGTGTGTGGTTGCCTCTACTAGTAGTACCACTAGAAGAGAGGAGACATTGCAAAGATAAAGGAGATCATCATTGGTGGCAATGGCAACAGCTTCCAAGTTCCCGGACTACCTCCTGCAGGAGGTTCGCAACCTTCTTTGCACAAGAGCCCGTGACATGGTCTTCAAAGGAAGGGGGGATGGAGAGAACACAGCAGGACAAGAGGCCATGATGTCAAATGTCTTTCATGGATCTCCTGGTTATGCCTCTGTGCTAGACGAAATGATGCAAGGCAAGGGCATCTATGCCTCAATGTTTGACAAAGTTCCTATTGAGAATAATAGAGAAGGGAACGAGAATCGACAAGGTGGCCACATGCTGGTAGCAAAAGACATTTTCAGTTGTGACGAAGGTAAAATCTGCTGAAATGGTGCGGGCAAACATTCCAATCTGCTTTCCACTGACTACGCCGCTGTACTGTATTACTATAGGTTCGAAATTCATTGTCCATGCTAAGGGATTTGTGAGAGATGCCCTTGCGAAGAATGGAGATGAAATGATAAGCGGCAGAAACATCAAAGATCGAGCCAACAACAGCATTGGAGTTTACAAGTTTGCACTCAAATACTGTGATGAATACATGGACGATTCTGGTACTGGAAAGTATCCTTCGGGAAAAGGCTTCGAGGATATGGTTCTGTATGTTCGCCAAAAGGTTTACGTTCACTTGAAAGGAGGAAAGAACAACAAAGGAGCCAATCGTCGCGCTGCCAAGGATGGCAAGGAATGGAAAGAAGAGAACATGCCCGACAAGTACATGTTCAATGGCTTCTTTGTTTTTCTCATGTACGGTCCAGTTGGTTTGGCTGGTTCCACTTTGACTTGTCTGTCAGCAGATGGCAAGAAGGTGGAAAGAGTTGGTCGCGCAGAAGCCAGAAAAAAAGAGAGTGAGGTCAAACAAGCGGAACGTACTACTGGTGTTGGCGCCACTGGTATCTTTCAACGTGGTGTGCCGGTGAAGGATAAGTTTGCTTGTGCCCAAATGGCAGTTTCGCAGTACAAAGAGGCAAAGAGAAACGTTGTCAATTTGCTTTTCCACAACAACGCCGCTGAAACAAACTGCATTGCTGCACTTTCAGAAATCAACAAGATGATTGACAGGGCAGAAGACAGGAACGACGGAATGGAATTGAGAATGCTGAACAAGCGAAAGCAGGACGTCTTGGGAAGATGGGACAAATTGTCAACGAGGAAGACGGAATTAGAGGAGGAATGCGATCAGTTGATGAAGCAGTCTCCCAGTAGGCAAGTGTCTGCTTACTATGAGTCAGTGGGAATGCCGAATGTTCCCTCTGCTGTTGCTGTGTCGAATAAGTCTCAGGAAGATGATGAATCGTCCATCACAAATGTCCCTGGTACCGCCAATGTCCAGCGTACTGCCTCCACTGTTCGCCCTGTTGTTGCCATTGTGCCAAGACCCCAACTACCAAGTCACTGTTCCCAGTTATCCCAGGAGGTTGAAGTTGTAGGCACAAACACCAACCTTTCGGGTGACACTGATGAAGACGTTGCGGAAACTGAAGAAGCGACCGAAGAAGATGACCTGGTTGAAGTTGTTCCGCGCGAACTGCAGCTAGTGAATTTTGGCGAAGAAGACGAGGGAGAAGAATCGTCCAGTGCTGCCAGGATGCCAAAGATGCCGAACATGACTCTAACTGGATTTGCCGCGAACTTTCCTCCTGAGATACAGCAGATGCTGCTTCGCCAAAGGTTGAAGGATAATGGAATCGATCCTGACCATGTATCCTTTCAGGAAACGGCACAGCATGTGGCTCAACAGGAAGGCTTGCATGGACGCGATGGTACCGTCCCAACGAATTATCAGCCTGGTGGAGTCTATCATGCCTCCTACGTTTCCGCTGGAGATGGTCTGACAGTTGCCACTGCCAATCAATGGTTCGCGCAAGAGGAAGAGCCAACTCAGAAATAAAGAATTTACTAGTGATTATTATTTGTTGTTGCTCTTTGTGTTGGCCATCTTACGCGATTCTTTCGAAACATGATGTCGAAGTGTTCAACCAAGCGATTCCGGAAATCATCGTACGCAAGGGAGTTAACGAGCACGCTTCCATCAAGGGCATATCGCTGGGGTCCCTGTAAATTGTCATTGCTTCCATCGCTTGCATCCATGTTCTCGTCATCTTGTGCAGTGGTGTCTCTTTGCCTCTGGATTGCACGACGCCTTTGTTCTTCATTAGTTGATTGTCGTTCGTGCTCTCTTCCACCAAACACTCGCAACTCCTCATCTGTGAGTCTTTGCAGTGCAAGTGGGGCAAAGCGACGCATCTCCTGTACATCGTTTTCACCCATTGAGCTATGCCACTCATCAAGACCATCTGTGCGCAGCAGCCAATTGTGCAAGGCACAACATGTCAACCAAATCTTGTCAGCAGCGACAGGTCCATCCAATCGGATCCCTGTCTTCAGAACTCTCCATCTGCCTTTCAGAATCCCAAAACAACACTCGGCATCCTTTCGAAATGACTCCATCCATTCGCTAAGGCGCTGCTCAGACCGTAGGAGATCATGCTTGCCAGGTGCTTGTGTGCAGGACCATCGGTGGTAACCATTATCAACAAGCCCCCATGCACCCTTATATCTGGTATGCTCCAACCTTGACTTGCCAATCTCGCCTTCCCATGAGAAGAGACCAAAGCCAACATCCTGCAGAATTCTCCCTTCGTGTAATTGATTTAGGAACTGGTCGAAGTGAGCTAATGTCTTGTCGTTCCATCTGGAGGGGTGACCTTCTGTAGTGTGCAATATCAATCGCCGGTGGTTGCAGGTAAGGTTGTATGTTCTAGCTGGATTGCTCTGTTTGAAACCCATATTCGCTTGCTTCAAATTGTGAGAGCATCGCCACATGACAACGTTGGTTCCATCAGAGGAGAAACCAGCACCGGGCATTCCACCAACAGCGAACTCCCTCTGGTGTGGGTGAAATTCCTCTTTGGTTGTTGGCATTTTAACATGCAAAGGATACAGCACTTTGGCCCCGAAGTCAATAAATGCATGCAAAAACTGGCGATGAGTTTCTTCGTTTATTGCTGTGTATTCCTCGAGATCATCAAAGGTAAGCCCTCTGCCAAGATAGCGAAGTGCCCCCAAAATCATTAATTCCAGTGGCGAGCTTTGTAGTCCCACAGCATCCTTAGACATCCATCGCTTGAAGCGGTGGTCTTGCTGGCACTGCTCCAATAATTCTAGCCACTCAGAATAGGGCATTCGAAACCTTCGCCGGAATTTCTTGTGCCATTTTGCACTGTCCAGCGTTGGCGAGACCACGTACATCAAGTACCAGATCGTCTGCCTGGGCTTCAATTCAACCTTCCTGCCATTTGAATCGAAGTAGTAGGGCTTCAATGACTTGCAAGAGCGAACACGGGTTCTTGTTGTTGTTGTTGTTGAAGTTGTGGCACGAGTGGCACTATCACTATTATCTTGTTCGTTCTCATCATCCATCATGGTTTCCATGAGCCTGTTGTCTTCCTCGTCATCTAGACGTTCTTGCTGTTCCATGTATTGACAGTAAAGGGCAAGCTTCATGGTGCCGTCTGGATTGAAACAGTCAGAAATATTGATTTCGTCATCATGGTCATTGGCTTGATCTTGCAGATCCATCTCCATTATTCCAAGTCCTCTAGCTGTATAGTTGCAAATGTTTTTTGGGCACGATGCATGGGAGACCACATGTTCTTGGGTCCTGTATCCCTCTGCGTCATCTAGATAGGGTTAAATTCTAGCAAAAGAGAGTGTCGGTGTGCACGAATGGCCCCCCGACATTTCGCCAAAATTTCGTTGGCAAATAAATAGCACGAGAGGTTGGAGACTGACGTGTTCAAATCAGGTGTGCCTGATTGGCTACTCTACTTGTCGCCTGTCGTATGTCGCTACGGTTAGGTTCGGCCTCACAGCTGCTACAGTGCTGCTAAACACCCCGAGCTACCGCACCGACTAGCAACAGCAATAGAAATACCTACGAAATATCAACATGTGCCGGGGCACATGACACATGTGAATGTGGTCTGTAATCTACCATACTAATACAGCTACCCGTACTAGCTCTCGCTTCAGTTTGAAAGGTTACCGTATCTCTTATTTAGCTATTAAATAGGTGCAGACCTGTGAGTGTTGTCAGCATAGCTTCAAGGATTCCTCGACTTGACATCTCCATGCGCCTCGCTGTCCAAGAAACTGGTAGTCATGTGGAAATTTGGACTGCTTCATGGCTCTGTTTTGGGCGGGGCCAAACATCAGGCAGAGCGGTCAAGTAAGTCACAGTCTTGGCTACTGTGCTCTGGTGAACCTCCAAGAGGCTTCGGCAATTAGTTCCTGCCGACTTGGACGTCCTTTCCACGCTTTATTGTGGCACAACGTACTACACGAATAGCTTTTCAAAGCTACGATATATGCGAGTCCCAAAATCTGCGCCCGTGTGTTCCCTGTTCTTGCTTTGGCACGCCTTGAAGTTCGTTCAAGCAAGTTGTACCTAAAAAGGGTGGTACCGTACAGCCCTCCGCTTAGCCTGTACTACTAGTACGGTGGTACCGACGCTTTCCTTGCCACCCCGCCAATCAGCCGTACGTTTCCAGTGCCTAACTAAATGAATGATTGAATGATTCAATCATCGAATCAGCAAGTGCCGTTATCTGGTACTGTAGTCTACGAGCGACATCGGCTACTAGTATCTAGTATGGCTACCAGCCGGTGATTGAGTTCGAACGATCCTGTTGTACGGTACTAGTACGGTGGCTACATTCCTCTTACTGGGGGGCCCAGCATAAAAGGAAATTTGTGGGTATAATGGATTCTAAAAGCTTTCTAAAGGTGTAATGGCAGGATAATGGTAACAACTCATTGTTAAACTGTGTACAGACCTTCCCCAAAGTATTTGCCTTGGTTTCAAGCACTGTCAGCTGCCTCTTGGCTGTGGTAGAGGGCCCAAACAGGAGCCAAATCTGGAGCTGTTTCCTGTCATTTCTATCACCACACTGGAGGCACTTCCAGAGGCAATCTAAGGCAATACAAGGGTGGATTGTTTGGCTACTATGTTATGTTGATCCTTCTGAAGCAATGGATTGGTCTGGGGCACCCAAAACAAGGTGTATGGGCCACAGGCAGACATGGGGTATTTTGACTGGAAATAAACCCAATGAGATTTGAATTTGCCATTGTAATGTCGATTCAGAAGCACTGGATAGCTTCTCCACTTCTCCAGCCTCCCAAAATTCAAACTAAGGGTAGATTGATGAATGGAAGCCTTCCCAGCCATTACTGCATGGCGCTGAGTGGAGAAATGGACCGAACTGCTTGCTGGTGGCAGGGATTCTGCCATGTAAATTGTCAAAATTCTAGAACAGTAATTCCATGCACTTCCTCTGCCGCTATGGTCGTAGCAGATCAATTCACCTCCGTAGTAATGGCTGACGGAGTGCCCGCAATGTCTGCTTCGACGACACGGGGCGTAGATCTGGCCACCTGTGGCATGGAAGGTCTTGTTGTTTCTGCACCGGCAAAATCCACTTCTTGATACCTCCACCACTTCAAAACCTCCTTCAAATGGCTCCTCTGTGCCTCCAAAGCAAGCGATCGTCAACCCAATGCGTATTGATCAAGGTCCAACCGCCGGAGCAGCAGTAGTCACCCGGAGATGATGTTCACCGGGCCTTGACGAAGACGGGCTCTTTAATGCCGGTGTATGGAAATCCGCTCTGGCCGATTCAGAGAGAGTCTACACCACAAACAACGTCCTTCTCAAAAATCCGGCTCTATAGTGCCCTCCGGATAGGTCAAGAGGAGAGTGCCGCTATGGCTCCATCATTGTTGACATCAACGTGGAAAGAGAAAAACGTATTCTCCTCCAGCAGGTGCATTTCACCGGCAAATTTCGACCTGTCTAATAGTAGCAGGCCTACCGCTAAGACAGTCAATGCCACAATGATATAGACCTTGTCGGCAAGTCGCCTGTGGTGTTGCGGTCGAGTGGTGGTAGACGATCGAGCTGCGGTTGTGACAAGTTGTCACGGTGACCGGTGACACCACCATCTTGATTCAAAGATTTACCACGTCAAATTAAAATATTCATATGCCCCCTGGGTCGTCTCCGTTTCCAGTACTGGTACTAGTTTAACTCGTTTACTAATACAGGATAATGGTGAATAGAATCGAATGAATCATGTGGCTTATATTTAGGGTTTAGGTTTTGCAATTTTGAAGTCAACGTGTGTTAAGTGGAGGGTTGGCTCGCTTCCGCTGGGAGCTTGGCGTCTTCTTTTTCCTCTGCTTCCCGCTCTTCGTCGGAACTGGGGTATTCGGTAATAGGATCGTGAGTAAGTTCGGCAGCTTTCTTCATACCTTGTGGAGTGTCATCATTCTGACTATTCGCAGGTGATACTTTGGTCGACGTGGTTCGTGGAACAGGTGGGACGGGAGATGACGTATTTGGTTGCATTGGAACTGGGATATGGTTTGCGTAATAATATTGGGAGGTCCAGGTATTGAGGTTTGAAAGTGAGGGCACGGGGGGGGGTTGGGGTGTTTACTACGGTAGGAGCTACTGTAGGGAGGACTTAACCACCTTCTCCTGCTGGGTGCTTTTTCCAGGAAGAGTTCCTCTATAGAAGGCCCTCAAAGTCATGTTTGGTCGGGGGGCAGTCAGAAACCATTGGGGGAAGGGCTCTAGGTGTGTTTGGTTTTTGGAGCTTGAAGGCCGAATTCTGGTGGTAGGTATAGATGGTGGGGTTGGGGGTGGGATGGTGTTTGCGTGCGTTAGGTGGCTTGTGGAATAATGTTGTTCGATCGGTGTGTGCGACCAGTGATGGCCCGCATGAGCGAGCCGATGAGAGTGTTGCCTGATGCATCCCAGGTTGTTTCGGGGAAACCAACGGACGTAAGAAGTGAAGACGGGAGTTGACCACTGAGGCAAATGAGAGTATCAAATGGCCCTTGTCGGTCTCGTGAGGATTCGGAGTACAGTGCGGGTATTCTGCCTTTTGATGCGCATCCAAGAATCTCGTCAACAAGTTGAGTCATGATGTCGGGAGTTGTGTTGGTGTGATGCCGCTCATCTCCAGGTGTGTCATGGGACCTTTGTACCATCTTGTCTCTTGTTCGTTCGTTTGTAGGTTACTAGTGTAGGGTCCATCCTTCTTTGCCGGGTCGTACCGTATTGCGATGTATGGGCCGGTTTTTAGAAGGTTCATTTGATTACGTCACTTCAAGGCCATGTTCTTGGTGGTTTGTGTGTGTGGTGGGTGGGTTAAAGAAACGTTTCACCTCAGTTTGTGTCGTCAAGTTCACCTCTGTGGCACATGATAACAAAGCCTCTTTGGTCATAAGAAGTACCGTTGGTGGCCTCGTACATAAGGAGCTTTTCCCATCAGCAGGACTCAGCGGAGGCGCAGGTCCACCAAGTATTTGATAATAACCCACTCGAATCGGATTTTTGTGCTTGTCTTGCGAGGGCTTGAAAATAGGGGCCATCATGTCTTGTGTGGGGTTTAACGCCTGTTGACGGGGGTGGTCTTTCGGCGGTGTGTTTTGTACATGGGACAGCCGTGCTTTCTTTTCAACGAAGCCGGTGGTGAACTTGAGGAGGAGGCATTCCGTGTGAAGAGGGGTATTCTTCGTCTTCCTTGAGGTTGCTGGGAATTACGGCGTGGAACTCACAGGAGTTGAAAGCACCTCTTGCTTTGTTGCCCCCGGCCTTTTTCTTCTTGCTGTTGATACCCGCGGAAGAAGGGGTTCGATTGCGACGACGTGTGTTTATGTCGGGTGTTTGGGAAAACATGGTGAAGGAGTTCTGAAACTTGAAGTCCG